CGGAGGCCATCGCTTCTAGGTTGGAGGCCATCGCTCTTAGGTTGGAGACCATTGCTATCAGGTTGGAGACCATTGCTCTTAGGTTGGAAGCCATTGCTTCTACCTTGGAGGCCATTGCTTCTAGGTCGGTTTGAGGCCATCGCAATTAAGTTGGAGGCCATCGCTCTCAGGTTGGAGGCCATTGCTTCCATCGCTCTTAGGTTGGAGACCATTGCTATTAAGTTGGAGACCATTGCTCTTAGGTTGGAGGCCATTGCTCCTACCTTGAGGCCATTGCTTCTAGGCCGGTCGGAGGCCATCGCTCTTAGTTTGGAGGCCATCGCTCTTCGGTTGGAGGCCATCGCTCTTATTTAGGTTGGAGGCCATCGCTATTAGGTTGGAGGCCATTGCGGTTAGGTTGGAGGCTATCGCTCTTAGGTTGGAGGCCATTGCTCTTAGGTTGGAGGCCATCGCTCTTAGTTTGGAGGCCATCGCTCTTAGGTTGGAGGCAATCGCTCTTACGTAATTAAGTTGGAGGCCATCGCTAAAAGGTTGGAGGCTATCGCTCTTAGGTTGGAGGCCATCACTCTTAGGTTGGAGGCCATCACTCTTAGGTTGGAGGTCATTGCTATTTGGTTGGTATGACGTCTTCTTAACGTCAGGGGAATGAGGCACATGTCGAAGTCGACCAGCTCGCGCGAGTCGTCGCCTTGGACTCTGAGGCAGCAAGTCGAAGACGCGAAAAGATCGGGAGAGAAAGCAAAGCCAAACGAACACCTTTTGCAACTTAACAGGACCTAACAATACCTAACATTATATAATGACAACTCTCTCTCTCTCTCTATGGCCAAACATCTGCATCAGAAGGAACATCTCATCAATGATCATTCACGCTCGGCCTTTTGATGCCTCCACCCAATGCGTGCTCTCTCTCTCTCTCTCTCTCTGTTGTGCCCACCCTTCTAACACGGGTACAGTAGTCCTTGTTTTTCTCTGCCGATCCTTTCTCTGCCAATTCTCGGTATAACGACGCTACCAAATAGGTCCTGAGAAGCTGGCTGGGTTCAGTATGTCCACAAGCCTACGGCAAAGAACACGAATCTTCCGCAGCATGGAACGGAACCAACGAAAGTAGCGATGCCGTTTGCTCCTAGTAGCTTTCTTGCTCCTAAGTAGTAAGGCACTTGTTACTAGAAGCGATGCACTTGTTCCTACTAGCTTCTTGTTACTACTTGTGCAAGTATCCTTTTCCCACCCGAAGGCATTGCAAGTGATTCAGTTGCAAACGGCAGCAAGGAACCTGGCTGGAGGCGAATGCTCCTGTTCTGGCAGAAGACAATCGGTCCAAACGCTTCAAGCCACATCATCTTCAAACAAGCTGTGGTGCTGCCCTGCTGCAACTAATTGCAAACACTTTGAGTGATTTCAAACACTCAAAGCTTG